TTCACTTTTTGTCTTCAAAGCGTCCTGTGTCATTGTGGACGATGTAATATTTTCCACCTTACAACACCTTTCACGAAGACGCGTCGCACGCTTCTATCGTGTCTACTCTATTGTTATTTTCAGGGAAAGTGTTCAGATGAACTGCATTCCTTAGTTCCACTAGTCCTAACCTTCACAGCTAAGACCCACCACGCCACTCCACATTGTAGCGAATCACCTTCAGTCTCTTCATTGGTGCGATAGAAGTTCCACTCAACAGTTCATATAACATCAGGACAACCTTCAAAAGCTTGACGACACTTCGCAGATACCTCTCTCGAGTAAGACACCCCCGATAGAGGAGAACATGACTAAAGATTGTGTGTACGTTATCCCGTGCAGCTGCAAAAAGAAATATAAATGGGAGACAAGCCGCCCCCTTAAGGTAAGGCCTCAAGAACACCAGAAAGCTGTAACACGAGGGGAAGTAGAAAAATCAGGCGTGGCTGACCACATATGGAGAGAAAAGGGAGATCACCGCCCTCTCTGAGATCAGGTTGAGATCATAGACAAAGAACACCATTGGACAATTCGTAAACTTAAGGAATCATCACATATGCTAAACCACAAAAATCTCCTGAGCTGACCAAGCATAGAAATGAAGACAGAATGTGAACTAGTAATGAGTGCCAGAGAAAAGCAATAATAACAAACATTGCAATATGAGCACTAGTAAAAAATGATTGCTGAGACATTAGGTTTATAATAACCAGAAATTCATACACGAATGTCCTCATAGTGGATAAAGTCGTTAGTTAGATTTAGTGACTGAAGTTCTATAACCGATTAAGCCAATGGAGAACTTGGAGATGGGAATTAACAGGAGATAACTCACATCCATTAAACATGGCACGTGGAACTAGAACAGTCTACCCCATTGAGCGAAATAAACGGTTCAGTTCGACATTCCAACCACCTGAAGAAGGCCGGAGCGTATAACGGCCGAAACGTTGTAAAAAATATTGCAACAAAGATGAGGACAATAGTCCGGATAATGTAAATAGTGTACATAATACCTCATCTCAGGAATATAGAGAGAACATTTCTACATATGATATTGTTAATAGTTACCTGGCCTTATTTTTAATCATGATTAATCTAGTTACAATAATATATTTCTTTAAATATTGGTTTTGTCGTGTAGATTATTTTCTAACAACGGTAAGGCATATTGAATTGTCCTGAAGCCATGATCTCTTCCCTAGTGTAAAGTATTCTTTGTCTGTTGTATTCAACGCAAACATACACACACAAAATGTCTATTTTGCCAACAAATTTTCTTGTTTGCATTTTTAATTAAAGGCCACGGAAAATGTTTAAAGATGTTCTTAATTATTTTTCTAATTTCCTGGCAAGTATTTTTAGTAGTGCTTCGAGTTTATAAATACATTTCCCGATAATGACGTGATTTAAAAAAAAAAAAAAAAAGCATAAAACCATTTCACACCAAGCAAGGCGATGAAGTCACTAAGACGTAGGAGGTTACTGAGTGTGAAAAAAATCTGAGAAGAAAAAAAAACCTTAAGAAGAGAAGAAAAAATAAATACAGGATGCAAGGAGAAAAGAAGATAAACGAATTTCATTGCCCTTTTAAACTTTTGAATATCAAAGTTGTTTGAAAAGGCAAGACGCCGGAAGAGAGTTGCACAAGCGAGAAAAACAATTATTAGCATAGAACGTTTGATTACGTCTAGAAATTTCAACTGTAAAATGATGAGACCTAACAGCCAATCTTGTAATCTTCTTAAATTCGAAAAGTCGAAGTAACAAAGAAGAATGCTTATCAGAACAAATTTAAAATGTACTGAAAAAGCATATGACATGATAAAAGACAATTGATATAAGATACCGGAGGAAGCAAAGTTTAATATGACGGAAATCAAGTATACTACTTGAAAATCGCAAATGTGGATGATAATATTTGGAGAAACAATGTCAGGAAAGACATTTGTTAGCCATCATGTAAAAAATACACGTAACTTCTTTATATAATGACTTATAAATATATATATATATATATATATATATATATATATAATGTGCTATATTGGGCTTTATGGTTATAGCGTTAGAAAGATCTTTTTTTTTAAAGAAGACAAATAACTTAAAATTTAATGTTGAACTTGTTTGTACAAACCAGGACATGAATTGTTCTCGTGCCAGCATTTCCTCGTGTATATATATCTGTTCGATGTTTCATCTGACATATTTTCTATTCTACTGAACTAATCCACTGTCTTTGATTACGGAATTTACACCCACTGACAGAATTTTAAATATTTAGTGTCTCTCTCTTCTATGCACGTGTGCGTGTGATGTGGTTTTAAATTATTTAACCTTATCACAAAGAATTTTATTATTTCTCAAAAAAAAAAAAAAAGGAAAAGAATCTAGTACACTTAATCAACATAAACGACGTCATTGTCATTTAGCACATCCTGTTAAGTTGTCATAATATCAAAGATTTTGCGATACAATGACATTTCTAATCGAAGAACACTTGCCTTGTCATTTTGTCATCGTTATCTGTTCAGAAACCTTGAACATTCAGAATGACTGATGATTACAAAGCCACAGTTGTGTATGAGTAAGACGTATGCAGTACAAATTTGCAACCCAACTGCAACAGCTTTTCAGAAATAATCCGTACCACACGTGACATCAAAGGCGGATTTAGCGCAAACGTGGGCGATTTATGAGATGATGTTAGCCATACGTTACATTGAATCCAGTATGCTTCAGGAGTGAATTTTGTTCGGATCGACCAGTTTTCAGTAAGCAATGTCTTGCACATTTATCCAGAAATCAAGTTTGACTTCTTTCACGAAATTTCAGCTTTGAAATCTTTCCATCTTCGTTTAAATCTGGTCATAATGTATACAAGGCATGCATACTGTGCTTCAAAGAAGTGAAAAACATGCTCGCAGCAAAACAGCGGTTTCTATTGTTGTGCATTAGTTAATATAGTGCCCAGTTTCCGGGATGAAATACTTTGCTGAAACAACCAAATGATTCGTGACTTTAGAGTAAAATTGTTTCACCATTTCTCGGTCTGACAACAGCACATTGGCTTGCTAGGTATGGTACAATTCTCTCTGTAGTTAATCAATGGTCGAAATTTGACCAATATCTCGAATGTACTCCCGTTAGAGATTAGTGAATTGTTTATCGACTTATCCTATGGCCGATATTTTTCTCACTAAGGTTTGGTTGAAACTCACTTTGAAATCGGAAAGTAATTTTTTCTGACATTGTCAATACAGGTGAAAATGCATTTGATGTTTTCATTTGTAACTCTTAGCAGAACCGGGAGGAATAGTAAAAAGACAAAACTTGCTATCTGTTCACCCAACCGTGTCCTCATTATTTGCTTCTGTCTCTCAAGTCCTGTGTGTGTTAAATTTTCCAAGCCTTCTTTCTATATTATGTATCAAAGAATTTTAACTCTCATTTTCTGATTCCACGCAGAAGTATTCTTTTTGTTTCCATTTCAGTTGAAACTCCCGCGTTGTTTGCTCTAAGTTTGTTGATTCATTTATGTATAGTTAAAAATCAGTTACTTTTGAGTGGGTTTGGGCCCTTCTAAAAAGTTTAATTTTCAATTCTTGTGCTTTTTTACTTGCAGTCTTTTATTTGCTTATAAAATACTTTGGAAGTAAAACATCCTAAGTTGAAAAAAAACTTTAAAAATATAAATATTTCCTCTTCACTTGCCTCTGATTTTCTCTTAGTTTTATTTAATCATATTAACATCATCATTATTATTATTCAATCATAAAAATCTTTCCAATAAAATCACCTTGCAAGTCAAAAATGGTAAAAGGAACTTTTGTATACTCTTTATGCATGAACAACCGAAATGACGTTTTCGAAACATTATTATCAGGCGGCAACTGAAGAGAGATATAAGCGACTAATTTATTATATATATATATATATATATATATATATATATATATAATTGCAGTATAAACAACAGGTTGTCTCTCTGGGCATTGACAAAACACAAATGTGACCAGGCGGGCGTCTGCAAAATGATGACTTGCCACTCTAGCAGACAAGTGTATTTGGAAACGAGTAGTAATTATTATAATATATATATATATATATATATATTGATAATATGGTCTTTATATATATATATATATATATATATATATATATATAGAGAGAGAGAGAGATATCGTTATCGGCGAGAGTGTCTTCAGTTCAACCCCCATACCAGAAGGTGATATCCCGGTCAGGATTTTCGCCGAAAAATTGATTCACTATTAAAAATGTAATTTTAATAAAAAAAACAAAACAAACACACTATTTTCTCTTTCTTTTTTCTTTGAAGAAAAAGACCCAAGATTATTTTCAAATAAGCAAATACAAATGTCGTTTAGTCATATCCGTAGAAATGTTTTGAACTCGAAATTTTGATAAGTGGGTCAGGTGAAAATAAGTACTACGGCTTGCATTTCCATCATTAACTGAGCCCTACTATTATTACACACACACACACATATATATACATATATGTGTGTGTGTGTGATACTTTAATCATCTTAACAAGTTGTGCTATTGATTCTTGAATTATCTTTCTCGTATATACCACTCAGTGTTTTTTTCCAGAATTGTCATGTGGTGATTGTTATAAGTTTGTCTCGGTTTCTCTGTTAAAGTTATAGAAAAATCATCCGTTTTTGATAAGGACAAACAGGTGCCATCACCAACATCACATCAGTTTCGTTCTTTATTTAATGACATTCACATAAATACTTTCTTTAAATGCATTTTTTTATTGCATTCATAAGGAAAAAATAATAATTTCCAGCAAGTTTCATTAACTATTACTCTCAAAATATGTTAAAATATGAAGATGTCGATTTCGACACTTGGTCAGATGGAATGGTAAAACACAATTAATCCTAAAAAATTCTTAAACTTAAAAATCGCAATTTTGGAGATTTTCTAAGTTTTCTTTTTAGTCTGTAAGGCCACAAACATGGAGCAACCTGTACAGATTGATCCCAGTGCAGTATTAAGTCAACTAGACTAACGTAATATTCATGATAAACCGATCGTTTTTTGTCCTGCCTAAAATAACGGGCTATATCGGTCAATTTACTGTATAACCCGATGTACAAGGTTCCACACTGTAAGGAAAAAAAATTCTTGGCCGGATCAATCTTTTAGTTTTATTACTACTCATTAATTACTCCCTTCTTCCTTTTTCTTTCCATACCCTCTCTATATCTCACTTTTTTCTCCTCTCCTTCTCTTCTCGCTTGCTTTCCCTCCCCCCTTGTCAATTTATTATAACAGCCCAGAGTATTGCCTCCATTTACTAAGAGATTTCGGTCTGAAGAGATGAATATATTGATATACACGAAATAAATTATAACCGAAATGAATCTTTAAGGTTTTCTTATATATATATCAATAAAATAGAAAATCGATACGTAAATTTCAGTGTTTTTCCTGTGCTTTAGTTTCATGTGTATGCCCCAGTTTATTTGTCGACAGACGCATAATCGTGATAGATGGTTGAAAAAGGACAAGAAACCCAATTCTGTAGCTTTCAAGAAATTGTGTATCCAACTCAAAACTTGCATAATTTCCAGCGCCGTCAATCACTTCGAAATTATTGTGTACATTATATTACGTGTGTTTTTTTTTTTTGTATTAATTTTTTTTACTAATATTCACTAAATACAAGTCCCAAAGGCCACTCAAGATAGAATGTTATTGTGTGGAGTTTTATTAGCGCAAGAAAGTACAAGAGGTGAAGTTCTTGGTCTATGCAGGAGAGGTAACAGCTACTTGTAGACATGAAGAGGTCAAGATTTAATGAATGAATAAAATTTCAGAGTCCAGTTAGAAGCATAGAGTTGAAGTAGACTTTAAAAGGAACCGGAAACCTAAAGAGGAAACAAGGGATAAATCTCTACTCCTGTTCAAGATACACGGATATTTAAATTTTAAAGAAAAACTGCTAGGATGTAGCTAATAAAATCTTTTCTACTATACGGGCAACACCTAGTTCTTAACAATGACTGAAACGGTCAAATGTACTGGAACAAAACAGAACAGAACAAAAACGTGATTTTTGTTTCCCACGAACCGCCTCCTTGTGGAACCGTCTCCCAAGAGGATACTTCTTCAGTAACCTTTTACCTTGAGTGGCTCTTGTGTCTTGTATAGGGTGAACATTAGTAAAAAAAATGTTTATTTAAAACTTTGATTTGAAAGTATTGGGAAATTAAAAAAAATAACAATAAAACAAATTTAAAGATATCTTGTCGGTTAATTTAAACAAAGCAAAAATCTACGATGTTGAATATTTATTAAACACCGTATATTTATGCAAAATAAAACACCTCATTTAAATATATTCTAATAGAACAAAGAAAGCTTGTTGAGCCTTTTGGTGAATTTAAATTCTATTTCAGAGTTATGGCATGTGAATCCACATTCATTTCAAACATTTTACTGTTAACAATACAAACGCTACATTGGCTAAGTCTTCACTTCCTACGGTGCTTTTCTTGAAAACGACCAACAATGGTTGAAAGTGTTTGTAATAACACTAATACTTAATGCAGTGCTACCAAGATGAAGTACGCACACGTCCTGTACTTTTGTTGCTACCCTTTGTTACTCAGTGCGCGCGTGGCCATGATGAATATTTCAAAGAAAACTCAGAAATTAGTTTCATGCTTTATTTGTGGTCAAATTTTGTTAAATTTCGGGTGTCATCTCGTGTGTGTATACATAACCCCAAATATATATATATATAATGAGATAAAGAAACGAATCTCAGTCTAACATGTTTCACCTTTATTAAGACTTCGTCATAGATCGAGAATAAAAAAGATAAAGCAAAGAGAGTACTGGACTGTTATGATTTTTGGTAGTTCTCATGGGTCAGATACGTGTCACGTGTATAAACCCAATAGATAGTATATAAATATGTGAGAGGAACATTTAAAATGTCAAAGTGTGTAAGTAAATAAACGCTTGTGTGTAGGATAGTAATGTTAATTCATGTAAGTGTTTGTGTGAGAGAAGTCGACAGATGTCATCCTCGTATTTTGTCTGTGAAATGTAGCGCTATATTGCGAAATAATTTTGTATTTGGTCGGATTTTACATTCTTGTGTATGTGAGACAAGTCTGTAGTCGTCAACTCTGTGCGGTTTGGTAAAACGAAGTAAGATATTGTAATAATCTCGTTTTGGTTAGATTCAACACGCGTATTTTTTAAAAAGGGAAATTTGTAAAATCCTCATTATTTTGGATATAAGTTAGATTCATCAATAATCGATCTGTAGAAAAATGGTGATATGATGTAATATTTTAAGCGAGTAGTAATGCTACGAATATATTTTCAATATATATATATATATATATATTTATGTGTGTAATAAGATAACTGATATAAAATATCTGACCAAGTTATGCAAGATGTTAAATATGCAAAGCAGTTGGGTGTTTACATTATTTTATTTTGTTACTAACGTTTCGGTCATTTACAACATCCTCAAAACAACTGTAAAATTAAGGAAGAATAGTAACAATGTCAAGCTTTCCTACTTAGAAATCCTGAGATTAATTTGAAAATGTTTTGAATTTTTAGTATGGCAAGGAAATGACTTCTTCAGTTGTCAACTGTTAAAAGTTGGCGACTTCTTTAAAATTTTGTAAATGCTTTCAATTGCATATTTAAAAAAATATTATCTGGACATTTAATGTTAAAGGACTCGTGAAAAAAGAAAAGCAGAGATTATTGGGTTAGGATGTTGATGGTTATTTTATTGATGTGTGATATCTTCAAGAAATCAAAATTAAATATGGGCTTGTTATTAATACTGGAGTTAGACAGAGCAAGTTATTAACTTTGTAAACAGCAAATTATTATAAAAAATGGTTTGTCATCAATGCCAAATAGAATAATAACGTCCATAGACATTGGACGAACAAACGTAGTATACACATGGAACAATGACTTTAAAATAACTATCTCTAAAGTTCCCCGGAAAATCTTTGAAGAGCTTGGAAGACATTTCGTGAGTTAGCAAAGGACGGGGAGGATTGAAGAGGACTAAGAGATATTTACAAAATTACTGAAATCACCCCCCCCACACACATATATATATATATATATATATATATATATAGTTATTCAAAAAGGAAGCAGATTTCAAAAATTTAATAAAAATAAATGCTAAGAGACAGAAACACATTCAACATATTAATGGATTGGAAAAGGTTAAAAGATTATATTTTTAAGGTTGTTCAACTTGAATGCACTCGACATGAGCATCATGTTTTGCATGACAAACATCGAAACGGCATTCCACTTCTTTTCACACTCAAATAAATTGATCTGAGAAGCACAAATAGGTGGCACAAACACTATTTTATATCCCCACAGATAAAAATCGCTTGGGGTAAGATCTGATGACCTGGGAGAAAACAAACGATGAACAAGATCCTCTTTAGCACAAATGATGAGAATTTAAATTTATGCAAAAATCAAAATAAAATAAACAACAAAAAAAAAAAAAAAGAAGCACTTAAAGAAGACTGAAAAAAAAATTCATTTATTATAGTAACATTGAACCTTCTATTTCTACAAATTCAAAAAGCCTTTTTGAACTTGTAGTTCTGATGAATTGGATCGTGATTAAATGTAATAAATTATAACCATGGAATATTAATGTTTGAGCCTTTTATATTATATTCTTACTCTGTCCTGGACATTGAGGTCTAGCTGGATTCTATCTTCTTGGGAATTTATCTCTCTCTCTCTCTCTCTCTCTCTATATATATATATATATATATATATATATATATATATATAAAGACCAGGAATATTATCAATATATATATATATATATATATATATATATATATATATATATATAAAGAATTGAGTGTCTCGCACTTGTACCGCTTGAAGTTTGGTGAGACAACTGCATATCTAGGTATCCACATGAAACTTTAAGTCGCGGAAAGGTAGTAATATCTGAGATTTTTTCGCAGGGCTTGACAGCGCTGGAAATTAAATTTATCAATTATTTTATACATATTCATAACTGAGACAGTCGAAAAAAACAGGAACAGTTTTAATTTGGACGTAAATCAACTAATATATATATAACTTATATATGTACGAGTGTAGGAATACGTGTAAAAATGGAGAGAGAATGCTAGTGGATATATATATATATATATATATATATTTAGAACGGAGGTCAGATAGGAACGAGAGAAAGAGAGAGAGAACATTTGGAAAGCAAGAGAACATAACGTAGAAATCTGGGTAAGGAAGAGGCAGAATTTGGAATCGGGACGAAAACAGACGTGGAGATTTCCTTGTGTCTGCAAATGCTTTCAGAACGAAAGCAGATTTTCGCAACATGCATGAAGGAAGAAAAATATAGAAGAAAAAGAAATTAAAAAAGAAAAAAAAAACGAACTTTTTTTCGCGGGTAAATCGTGTGAAATAGGATAGGGCAAGAACATAGGCTGTTTTTCTGATGGCTGATGCATGCCCTTGCAGTTGTGAAGCCTGGGAAATATGTTTTTGCTTCGATAGCTTTGCTACTTGGGTTTTCACTCGTACAGCTTGTTCATATGAAATACCCGGGGAGTTGCAGTATCCAAAAACAATTGCAAAAGTAACAGCACACACACTCACGTATATATTAGGCTGAGGCAAAATGTATCGCTTTTTAGACAAATCTAACAAAAATTAACAGATTCTTTTTTTCGTATAAATTCATAGCGTCATTATTCAATCGTCAAATATTTCAATCGTTTTTATGTAGTTTTCGTATCATAAGAACGTTTATACTTTTGGTTGGATATCTTTTTCGATGATATATTGAACTGCCTTGAACTTTTAGTCAAACAAAGTGCGCTGAATAAAGAAAAATGTGATCGTCTGAAGGTGAGAGATTTAAAGCAAATTCCACTTCTACATGATTATTTGCTGCATATAAGTGTTGACGTGAAACAGGAAAATCACTGATAGAATTACTTACCTTGCGAC